ATTAATTTGGTATAAATATCTCATTTTTGAATCTGAGGGTCGAAACCCACTTTTTCCTAGAACAGCCCCCATATGATAGTCCACACACTAGGCTGGATAATCTGATTAATTGATCTATGCATGAAGACAATTATAATCACATACATATTTTCTGTTTTCTGTTATTCCACATATAACTAAGTGCTGAACAAATTTTTTCTATTTTATGGGCAAAGAATGAACAGGTTATCTACAAAGATGATTGAAAATTTAGTCAAAATCCATTCTTATTATGTCAGTCATGCAAAAAAAAAGAATTTAATTACTATGAAAAAGATATTACAGAAAGAGAATTTACTTTTTTATCTACAATGGATTTAGGTGAAATAGGGACTGAGGAAAATGAAATTTTGAATTCATATGATAATAAATCAGATAATGTTATTCATTTGGATACTAATATTGATTGGGTGAAAATGAAAATTTAGATGAAAATAGTATGTATATATCAAAGAATTGAAGAGATTGTACCTGGACAAAAGGATCGGAACAATTGCTTTTGTTGATAGCACAAAAATATACATAATAAACATGTATGAAATTTATATAATTTGCGGTTTAGGTTCTTGTGAATATCTATGCAAAATACCATGCATCTAGGTTCTGTAGAACTTGGATAAATATATAAAAATGAAATTTGATTAAAAAATTTTCTTTGACAATCACTAAATTTCTGATGCTACTCAAATTCTCTGTAATAATTTTAATTTAAAATTTTAACTACTTTTAATATTTAGTTGGGTATCCTTTGCTCTTTATACAAGCCTGAATTCTACTAGGCATGCTTTCAATCAAATTCATTAAAACACTTTGAGGAATTTTATTCCATTCCTCTTTTAAAGCAGCCTCAAGTTCAAGTTCTTTAAGATTTCTTAGATTGTTAGGACAACTTCTAATACAATATATTGTTGTGGTGGGAAGCCAAGTATTTAAAATACTTCTATATGAGGCTCCACTTTTATAAAGACCAACTATTTGTCTGCATTGAGTAGGGATGGAAAAGTCAGTCCAGGTCTGGTCCTGGTCCTAGGAACTGCTGGTCTTTTTTCGCGGACCTGAAGACCAGGTCCTAGATCTGGTCTTTGTATCACAAATCTCAAAAAAAAATTTTTCTGATCAACATTGAGTTACTAACAAAATTTTGAAATGAGTATCTTCATTAAAGAAAATTTATTAATAAAAATTAATCAAATACATTATTTTCAATCCAACTTTTACTACAAAGTATTGCATGAGCAGTTTCTGGATGCAATCTATTTCTTATAGAAGTAACTGTATTACCAGCTACTGAAAAGGATTGCTCGCAAGCTACACTTGTGGCTTGAATTGACAAAAAATCTCTTGCCATTTTTGCTAATATCAGAAATTCTTGTTGGTGAACTTGCCACCATGCTAGTGGCTTTGAAACTTCATCACATGGCAATGCCAAATATCTTTCTATTTCATTATTATCATTAACATTATTATTAACATAACTTTCTAATGTAGATGGTTGTGGTGATTGATTATTTGACTTGTGATTTTTTAGTTGTCGAAAATATTTATGATAATTATATTGTGAATTAGTTTGTGGTGGATTTAATTCTTGAATTATAGAATATTCATCTAAATACTCTTGAAATTTTATACGAAGATTAGAAATTGCTGATGATGATTCTGAACCTGGTTGAAAATTTGATAATTTTGCTTGTGGGTCTAAAATAGTTGCTATAATTGTTGATTTATCTATGAAAGAATAATTGTGTAAAAAAAAAAAACTTAATTTTCAATTCTTAAATCTGATTGGCCGGAATTTTTAGGACCTGGTCCTAGGCTGGTCCTAAAATTTGGACTGGTCAGGTCCGGTCCTGGTCCTAAAGACCTTGGGGTGTGAGATGCCCTAATTAAATCAAAATTAAGTGATGTAACATAATGCCAATCAATAACAAACTTTTTTTTAAAAAAATATGAGTATGTATAAAAACTATATAAAATAAAAATTCTATCAGAGCCTTCAACTAAAGAGATAAAAACATGAAACCAAGGGAAATTATATAAATTTATCAAGCTTTTAAGCTATAGAGAGTTTTTTCTTGCCAAATAAAAAAAAAATTTTTTATATGTTATAAAGAAATTGAAAAAAGATTGCTAATAGAAAAACTTTATAACCAAATGAGATAGGGGAAAAAACTCTCTATAGATTTATTATAGAAGACTTAAGCAATAAAACTAAAAAAATTTTGTTTAATTTTATTATGAAGAAAAAGTTATCATGGTTTAAAGTTATTTGATTTATTATTAAATTTTACTACAGTGCAGGACACCTAATCCCGCAGCATAATGGACACTCGTTTTATCACTTTGTGACAAAATCGATTGTTGATCTTTTTTATGTTGTGAAACATGTGAT